CACCACTTCTTTTGACTCTTGCTGCCCCCCCTGCTGATCCAACAACTCAATAAATCTGATGTGTGTTCTGGCATATACCAGTTTAGGCTAGCTAAATTGAAGAATAAAGCCCATACTTGTGTTGTTACTTTGCAATGCAAAAATAAGTGTTTGTTGGTTTCCAGTGCCTCTTTGCATAGTAAGCATCTAGAGGCTATGTTAATACGCTTTTATGGAAGGACGACAGATACTGGATGTTGCTTTGGTGGCAAGAAAGAAGAGAGGGATTCTGGGTATTTTATGTAAGTTGGACCTTGAGAAAGCGTACGATCATGTGAATTGGGAGTTCCTGGATTTCATGATGTTGAAGATGGGCTCTGGAGAGAAATGGAGGAGATGGATCAAGTTCTGCATTTCTACGATCAGATTCTCTGTTGTGGTAAATGGTAGTCCGTGTGGAATTCGGTGAATTGAGAGAGTAGAGAAGCTGTTAGCGGGGTGGAAAAAGAGGTACTTGTCTAAAGGGGGTAAATAAGTTCTGATCAAAAGCACTCTTTCTAGCATTCCAGCATACTTCATGTCTCTTCTACAGGCTCTGGGCTAAGTGACTGAAAGTTTGGAAAGACTACAACGTAACTGTCTTTGGGACTCAGCGGAAGACATTAGGAAGAATCATCTTGTGAATTGGAAAGTTATCATTTTTCCGATGCGATGGGGTGGACTTGGAGTAATGGATCTCAAGGTGTTCAATAAAGCTCTGTTAGGGAGGTGTATCTGGAGATTTGGGGTGGAAGAGAATGATTTTTGGAGCAGTGTGGTTGCGGAAAAATATGGTATGGTGGCTGAAGGACTAGGAACATTGTAACTCCGTTTGGGTGTGGTTTGTGGAGGAGTATCATGAAGGGGTGGGGGGATTTTTGTGGACATTTTGTTTAAGGTTCCAAAAAGAGATGACAGTCCAACAAATTGGTAGGTCTCATGAGGGCATGTTCCATTGGGACTTAAGATTCATAATGAACCTGCACGATTGGGAGATGGAATTCCACAGTTTTGATTGAGTTGTTGTATGGGCTCAATTCACCAAACAACTCATTGGATGTATGGAGGTGGTGGGACAGTGGAGATGGTTTATTCACAGTTAGCTCTTTTTATAAAAGGTTACTAGTGAGAGAGGAATATTTGTTCCCCCATGATTTCATTTGGATCCCTAGAGAGGGTTAGCTTTTTTGTACGGTTGGCAGCTACGGGTGCGACTTAACAATGGAGAATCTTTGAAAGACATGGATCACATATGTTAGTTGGTGCTTTATGTGTAAGAGTCAAGGTGAAAATGTAGATCATCTTCTTTTGTATTGTAAGGTGGTTTGCTGGTTATGGAGGGTGGCCCTTAATTGGTTTGAGATGCAATGGGTGATGCCGGGTGCAGTGAAGGAAGCTTTGCAAAGTTGGACCCATAGAAGCCGAAGAGATGCTCAAGGGCATGGAGCGTTGCCCCATTAGCAATCATGTGAGTCATTTAGAAAGAGAGGAATAATAGGGCCTTTGAGGGTGTAACAAGATTTTGTAAAAATGTGAAGTAGTATTTTGTCTGTAGTTTTTTTTTGGTGTACTTATGAGGTTCCTATTTGTATAGAGGATTAGACCTCTTTTGTTGAGAACCATATTTTGATTTAGGTTCTCTCCTTTGGTATATGGCTTGCATCTGGGGTTTCCCAATTGTTAATAAAAACATTTACCTTGTCAAAAAATAAATAAATTCTCTCAGTGTTCTCCTTATTCTTTATTTCTCAGAAATTGTTTTTCCGCCCCTTCACAGGAATGTCCCTACATTTAAAACAAAATATTTTTGATAAAGTGTACAATTAAAACAAAATTCTAATGCTTTCTGGAGCAGCCTTGACTCTTCACCGCAGATATTTACACTTTTTCTTCCACCCATCTGCTTTCAATCCTCTGGAGCAAAGCTTGTTTTTCTTCAGAACCTTCCATGTGTACTCCTTGTTGCTTTCCCATCTTGAGTACGTTTTTTTTATTCTAGAGACTTCACCTGATGTTAGCTTTATCTGGATGTCCACCTGTAATCTTCCTTCTGTTCCAGGGTAGCGACATTGTATTAGTGGCAATTGCAAAAGATTGATCACCATCTGAAGGGAGTTCAGAGACAACTCCCTCAGTGGTCTATCATAATGGAATGTGGAATCAATTCTGCACTATCCCAGCTAGCACTAGCATAGGTAGCTCTCGATTTCCACTATCTGCCGGTTCTGCCTAAAATGATTCAGCTTGAAGCCTCTTTCTCAATTACAATGGGTCATGGAAAGAATACTTATTAATCTTGTCAGCGAAAAAATATCCATTAATTAGATATTATTGCTTGAGGTGCTTGATAAGATCCTAGGCTTGTCCATCTCATGGTTATTGGATTTGGATTGCCATGAGGCTTGTCCAGCCTGACAATCTCCAGTTGCTTCACCAAAGTAGATCTATGAGTACAGTTTTCTGGTTCTTAGTTTTGTTGGATATTTTATGACCCACACAAGTATTTAATGATAAAAGCCTAAGGTTTTTGAAGTGTGCATTTGAATCTAACACTTTCCTATCCTCGTAACAAGATGTTACCTGTCTTATAATCTGAATTACTTTTGCTGCAGGAATTCCATTTGGATCAGTAAATTTGTTGCATGGAGTCGATGAAAATGAAAGCAAGGCATATCCTCTTTGTATTCTCCTTTTCTCTTTCCCGTGCTGTATAAGACTTCTTTCTACAGTGTTATTATGTCTAGTGTGGCAGTGGTTGAAATGGAGCAGACATTCTGTATTCAATCTTGCTTCAGATTAACTTATCAAGAAAAGGAATCTGTGACTGTCCTGGTTCTACATGAACATGCGTGTCTTTTCTTTCCAGCCTGGTGGATTTGATATTTTGTTCTATGCATAGTTTTAATTCAGAATCTTTGTAGATGGAAACATCTTGTGCAGCATTGTGCTTCCCTATTCCTTCCAAAGAAACATAAGAGAAAAAACAGAAGTAAATAAGAGAACACCAGGGACCCTCTTGAGATGATCCTTGCTTATCTCATCTGACAGACATGAATGGGGCAAGAGCAAACAGCCACCAGACTGCTATTTTTGAATTAAGGATTACTATTCAGTACTTTTAATAGATTTGACCTGGTTGATGACTTGCATGAGAAATGAGAACCAGTATGACAGGAGAAGACATAATCTACTTGACGTTAGTCATGAAAAGTGATATATGAAAATATTCTGTTTTATTGTCTGGTGGATCGTGTATGTTCAAATGAGATGTGTTGTGCATGCCATGGACATTTTATAGATGTCTGATATTCCAGTTTCTTTTAATTCTTAATCAACTTTTCTTGCCTGAGATATGCACACACATCATCACCCTATACTAAAGCTATATTTTTGGGTGCCTAGATAACATCAACTGCTGGTGGAGGGACACTGACATTAGAATTTGGGATACTCAGCCGCTTAACTAATGATCCCAGTAAGTGTTACTCTCTTGATCTGATGTATCAAATTTTTATTCAACCTCTGATCTTAGTCAGGAGGACCTCTAGTATTTTGTTCAGATTTACCAAACCTATCATGAATAGGAGTTTGTTTCAGCGGAATGTAAGGTTACACATTTAGATCCTTGTTGGAAAGAACACGAACGAGCATGTAATGTAGGAAAAATGAGTATATCTTTCAGAATCCAGTGGATCTTTTGAAAGTTTGAGAGTTAGAGTGAGGTTTCAGTTATTGCTCTAATGATGGATAAGATATGGGTACTCGAACAAAGAGCAACATTAAATATGCTTACTGTTGAGAGGAAAGAAAGCAGATGACAAAAAGAGAGAATATTGTGAGGAAGGGAAAATGACTGAAAAAACTCCAGAATGAATCTGCATATGCCTTGTAGTGGATTCTTTTCCATTTTTATTACGAAGGGAATGGAAAAAGAAATTATGAGACTGTTCAAGAACTATAGCATTACTGTTAGAAATTTTAAACACATTATAAAAATCATCTGCATATTTAGAGAAGGGTTAAAAAGATACTGATACTTGTCTTTTGGTTGCTCTTAGCCGGAACAATAAAAGAACAACTCTCTCTTAAAATGCTTGTTTAGTATGGTTTCTGTACATCTATGGTTAAGGGTTATATTGTTTAAGGATCTCTCAAGTGCGTGAAAACGGTAAAGAGCATCTTGCACCTAAATTATATGCTAGAACTGTTCTTTTTATGACAGTTCAGTGAGCAAACACAAAGGTTGATCTAAATTGATTTTCACAGGACTATTGATTGGGGCTTTGGTCTTTAATTGTTACTCTCTAACTTGGTTTAGTAACAAATCTTAGATATTATTTGCATTATCGACAACAAATCTTAGATATTATTAGGGTTCTTCAATAGCTTGAGACTTTCCTTCTTTTTTTTTGTGCTGGTAGATGATTAGGTATACTGTTTTACTTATTCCCTGAACAACATTATGTAATTTCTTTTTTACTTTGAAAGTTACTTGGTTGAAATAAGTAGGAAAAGAAAAGCCTGAACCTGTTAAGGAGCAAGACTTTTTTTTTTGTGTGTGGGGTGATTTGAGGTGTTTGGTAAGTTAGTCAGGGAGGTGCCCAATTAGATGTTTGGAGTTCTTTTGTAGTCACTTAACAGTTAACATTAAAGTTTGTGCACTCATCTGAGTCTCTAAGAATAGTCAACTCTCTCCATTCTAACATTTAATGTGGACTGTTAAAGTTCGGACACAAATCTCATTTCTCAAGCCCTCAACTAGCAGACCTTCTAAAATTTTCTGATCAGCCGTTATATTTCCCCCTTCATTGTGTTTTTGGTAAATTGCACAGGTAATTCTTGCAGTTTTTCTTTGGGAACTTATGCTTATTCTTGTTATAATGAAAATGCAGTTTTTGAGCAAGTTGCAAAGAATGCAGTTCGAGGATTATGGGCTCGCCGGTCAAAGATCAATCTAGTTGGTGCTCATATAGATGTTTTTTCGGGTGAATGGACACAAAAGGTCACATTCTTTTAAAACTAGGATATGCATTTTGTTATTATGATAAGACGTTTGATTTGACTTGTTTCATGATGTCACACAACTTGAAATCCTTATTGCTTTTAATAGATAAGACAATAGCTTCACATGTTAATTCTTAACGATTGTTGCAAAAATCTTGTATGAGTTTGCAAAGTATATCTGGTTTCACTTGGATAAAGGAGGAACACACTGTAGTAGGTTGATGGCTGGTATAAAAGCATCAAATTATGATGATAGGGTATCCTTATTGCTGAGTCTGACTAGTCTGGATTTGGGCATAGTTGAGAGTCAAGAGAGATGTCAGTATCTTGGTCGCCGGTCCTTTAACTCTTATTCTTGCCCGCTGGAGATGATTTTTCAAGTCAGTTTCCTCTTCTGTTTCAATCCACCCCCCACATCTCTCACCTATTTTCTTCATCATCGATCTGGACCACAGATGGGAGGGGTAACACCAGAACTCGAATCCAGCACCATTCGAATTGGTGGCTCTTAGGAAATGACACAGCTGTTGGTAACCACCACTGCAGATTTAGTCTGCTTTCTTGTCTCCTCCAAACTCCCATCAGAACATGCTCAGCTGCTTTTCTGGATTGGAACTCGAAAAGGAACGTTAATCCATTCATGTCGTAAACCATAACTCCCTGTGCTCCTTTCCAAGCTTGTTGTGCCCATCATCTATGTTTCTAGTAGGGGTATCTTCTTTACCAGCAAAATACCCCACTAGACTTCTGCCCAGTTGGTCTTTACCAATAAAATGAGCTTGTGCCTTTATCATGCCGGCATCATCATCTTCCTCTGCAGACTGCAGATACCTCTGTTTTTTTCTGTGTCCATTTGTTCTTACGTAGCATTTCCATGTAACTCCTTTTCCCTTTGTTTGCGGCAAGATCTGCCTCTCCTGTGTATTTATACTCCCTTGTGGTAGTTGGACCTCTTTAATGAAGGAATTTAGTATGTCTGCAAGCATCCCCATCCTTTCATTAAATGCATATTTTCTGGTAGAATAATAATTAGCCTGTCTTTGCCCTTAATTGTTTATCAATGATAAGAATCCACCACTCTTGTTAAATTTTTGAGATAGGAAAATACTTGTGGAATAATCTTTGCATCTCCAAGTTTAGAAAGATTTCCCTCTGGTTCTCGATGCTTTGCTGGGTCTCCTGCCAATCCAGATAAGAGCCCCTTTGCTCAAAACCATTCTCCTCATATGATATCTACCGCTTTCTACCCAATCATACCATATTTCTGCTTTTGATCGCGATTCAATAATATCATAAAACTTCCCCTCTGATCGGAAATAAATTCTGTTGTCCATTCTGTTCGTGAGGAACGGAATGGAGAGAGAAAAAAGGAACTAGGAAGAGAAAGAAGAAAAAAGGGAGCTTTCCGGTGGACAAAGTCTACCGGAATAGGATTCACAAAGCCCAGAAGGAACTTTAGGAGGATGCCTCGGAACAAGTGCCTGAGAGCGTTTTAATGATGATTTTTTAATTCTATGATCTGTTTTTTTTTTTGGAAAAGAAAGCAGAAGATTTTTAAAAAAATAGTTATTCAATTATGTTCCCCTCCGAACAAAATTCAATTGCCAAGTCTAATCATTTTTTATTTTTGGTTGATGAAATAAGAAAAAATATCGTTAACAAAGCATCAAGCAGATGCACAGATTACAAAAGAAAAAAAACATCAGCTCCCAGCAAGGCATAAAAAGCTATTAAACATCTAACAACGGAGATCTATGGAGTTGATAAATTCCTGAAAAGAATCCACAGTAAGTACAGGAGTGAGATCAACCCAACCAAAAAGAGTAATCAAACATTTTGCTTTAAGGGTAGGGATGGGAGATGGGGTGCCATCAGAACATCTTTTGTTCCTCTATCCATAAGAACCGCAAAATACAGGGTGGAACCAAAGATCAGATCTGCTTGATGGACTTCCCTACTTTCCAAGAACTCCAGCACACAAAAGCCTCTCCCAGTGAGCTTGGCATGGCCCAAGTGAGTACAAAAAGTGAGAAGAACATGTTCCATATGTCTTTTGCAACTTTACAATGAAGAAGCAGGTGATTTATAGATTCTGAGTTTCATAAGCACATATAGCATCTATTGACTATTTGGAATTTCCTCCTCAATTCCATACGGTTCTTAGAGGAATGTTATGGTAAAACTTCGTTTGAAACGATGTGGTAGAAAGCAACGTGCGACTTGAAGGACACGATGAGGTTATCCTGAGTCAAGCAAGGATCTTTTAGAGTAATCCAACTGAAAGCAAATAAATTTAGGTGACAACTTAGTTCTCCTGATTAATTTCTATGCCATTGATCAATTAAGGTCTTCTTGGAGCTTTATTGTAGGTAGCCTACTTTAGCTGAATAGAACTTATCCATGTTATTTCTCCAGATAAGTCTGATAAGTCTGACCCTGCCTTGATTGTTGACTGCACTAGTCTGAATGGTGGCCATGAGACTAAATAACTCTTCTAACTCCCAGTCATTAAGATTTCTCCTTAGGGTCAGATTCCACACATTGTCTTCCCTGTATTGTGAGATGGTTGAGTCTGGATTAGATGCAATCTGGAAGATGCATGGAAAAGCATTCATTAGATGAATGTTTCCAAGCCAAATATCTTTCCAAAACTGAATATGTTCCCCATTTCCACCTTAAGTGAAGCATCACTGAAGAAGATTCCCCACTGTTCCTTGTATCTCTCCAAATCCCTGCGCCATAAGAGGTACTGACTTGATTAGAGCAACAGTGACTATCACTGCCATACTTTGCTTGGATCACTTCCTTCCATAAGCCAACTGCCTCTTGATTGTATCTGTAGTACCACTTAAATAGCATACACTTGTTATGTAAAGCCAAGTCTTTGATCCTCAATCCTCCATATTGTTTTGGCGAAGTGACTTTGGCCCATTTAACAAGGTGAAGTAGGAAGGATCAGAAGTTCAATCACCACTCTCTACGGGTAAGGGCCTGTGGTCAAAGAGAACCCTAAGAATCTATCAATTTTGGAAGCCTGCAGAAAGTCCTCACCCCTAGTCCATGTATAAGTTGCACCATGTAAGGGGAGATCAATAAGACCCATTCTTGAATAAATTCGGAGAAGTCTTTCATGAACTTTGATCTCCTGATACAATTGTACCTCTCAAGTTCAAATCTCCATACATTAAAGTCACGACCTATGACCCAACACTCATCCCATAAGTCTAGCCTTTCCAGACTTGCGTGAGGCCCATACACCCCAGAGAAGCAGAATCTGAAATCCACCTGCAATCCATATTTTTATGGGTTAAAAATAGACTGAAACTCATATTTACCCAACTAAATTATAAGTGATCAAACTCATTAATGAGGGTTAATGGGTTGATTTTTATAAATATGGGCTGCAAATTGAAATTGCCGTCTCTAGGCTGGACAAACACCTTTTCTTGCTCGAACTCGGTCCTTGCTTCCACAAAGTCTTGAAAGTGAAAAAATTGTCTTTCAGTTTAGTCAAGAAAAGGTGTTTGTCCAGCCTAGAAAATTGTCTTTCAGTTTAGTCTTTTTGTCTACAAAATCCAAAAATATAAAAAGAGGAGAAAATCAGGAACATATGAACTCTTTTGAATTTAATGATATGGTGTCTGAAATATTGAGGTGTTTGAACTACAACTATGTTAAGAATATCTACTTTCATTTTTGAGTCCTGTAACTTACTAGCTATTTCTTATGCATATGTATACTTAAATAGTGTATTCTGTATAATTCTCATGTGATCGCCTTTTTCCTCTCTTTTGATGAAGTGACGAGAATATTATGAATAATCATCTAACAGAAAGTGTAAACATCCTTTATTTGCTCAAATATTTAGATCTCGTAACTTCTCATTAGCAGGGGCGGAGCCAGCAGTATGTCGGGGGGTTCATCCGAACCCCCTTAGGTGGAAAATATTACTATTTATACATGGTTAAAATTATTTTTTTATGTATATACAGTAGATGTCGAACCCCCTTCGATTAGTTTGTATGTTTACTTCTTCAAATTTTGATGAACCCCCTTATTAAAAATCCGAGCTCCGTCACTGCTCATTAGTGTTTTGGCATTAGATCTCATGACTAGTCCTGTTGTTAGTAAGATTATTAGAACCTAGACATTTGCACGGTTATGGTTGACTCAGGGCTGAATATCTTAAAGAAACGGTTTTCAACTACACACTGCCACTTTGGCTTCTTTAGTCATTCCATCTCCACTTAGGACTCGGGAACTTCCATTTTCTTTTTAGCACTGCAACTTTGTATTATTCAGATTGATTTCCTGCATTTCTTTCGCTTTTCCCTTTGTAGTCTAGCAATATAAAATGTTCATTTCTTTGCAGGATGCTGGGATAGGGACGAGTATAGACTCTTTCTATGAATATCTCCTAAAGGTAAATACTCAACTGTACGGAATAATTACTTTCTATGTGACACAAAATAAGTAAAAGAATAGGGGGTCGTTCGGTTGTTGGTTAGAGTTATGTTGGTATTAGTAATGGAAGGTTTAGTTATGCAAGTATTAGTAATGTTGGGATTAGTTATGCAGGATTTAGTTATTCCATGTTCTACCCTGCATAAAATAATATGTAGATTCTCTCACAACTTATATATGCATTAGTTGTGCGGAAAAAAGAGACATGAACCAAACGTTGCATTAGCAATGTTATGTTTTATGTGGAAAGAGAAAAGACCAACAATACATGGTATAACTTATGCTAGATTCTATGTGGAGATTATTTTTCCCAATTTTTGTAACCAAACAACGTATAGAGTTATGCAGGTTTTAATACATGAATAACTCCTCTCTAATCCGCAGACTAGCGACCCCTAAATTTGCACTTATGCATAGTTTCTTTGTTGTAAATCATTAACGCTCATTTCTTATTGGCAACTAGCGCAAAGTAATGATCGTAATAACTTTTCTGATGTTTATATTGCTTCTAGATATGTTTGTTCTGGACCCAGTTATAGAGTAGAATGGGTACACACATGATTCGTGTAACTGGCCTAACTAGTTTGGGGTTGAGACCTAGATGATTGATAGATTAATTTTGGACTCCGTTAGTTGTTGGATTGCCTCATAAGAATTATTATCTCATTTTTTGATGAAGTAAATGTTCCATTGAAGGCATCAAGAAATGCAAATTAGTTACAAAAGTAGAAGCAAAAACAGTTGGTCTGCTGGCTCTAGTACAATTATGCTAAAACTAAGGAGCCAGCAAAATTCAAAAAACTATCCAGAGAATCTACAGAGGACAAATTGACCCAACTGTACAGACACATAAGGCCTTCCGCTTTGAGATAATGTAAAGGAGTTGATAGACCTTCAAACATCTTCTATTCCTTTCCCTCCAAATACTCCAAAAAATCGCTGCAGGTATCATCTTCCAAGTCTCTTTGATGGTGCTGTCAACTTTCCGGCAACACCAACTCTCATAAGCTTCTTTGATACTAAGTGGCATGACCCAACTGACTGAACTGAGTCCAAAAAGAGAGTAAAACATGTTCCACAGATTTGCGGTCACAGTACAATGCAAAAAGAGTGTCTATTGCTCTCTGCTGCTTTCTGACATAAGTAGCATCCATTCACAATGACATGTTTCCTTTTATAGAGGTTTTCTTGAGTTAGGCATGCTTCATATAGTGCAGTCCAGCAAAAACAGATGATCTTGGGCGGTAGCTTGATTTTCCAAATTAGCTTCCATGGCCAGTGGTCAGTGACTGCATTAAGTGCTCTTGACTGCTTGTAGGCTACACTCACTGTGTAATTCCCTGCTCCTGTAGTGCCCCATTTGAACTGATCTGTTGTTGCCTGAGTGTTGAGAGAGAAACTCTGTAGAGTCTGTAGTAGTTTGATCAGCTCATTAAACTCCCAATCCTGCATATTTCTTCTAAACATAATGCTCCAGGTTGTTCCATCTCTATTTTGAGAAATTTATGAGTCTGGATCCCTGGCTAAGTAGAAAAGACCTGGATAATCGTCCATCAGAACTGTGTTGCAGAGCCATTTATCTTTCAAAATCTGATATGGAGTCCATTCCCCACTGTGAAGTGCTTATGCTGAGAAAATTCCTCCCATAGCTTGCATATGTGTTTCCAGACTCCGACCCCATAAGGTGCTCTTGAAAGACTAGTGCACCAATGACTCTGTATCCCATGCTTTGCACTGACCACATCCTTCTATAGAGCGGTTGTGAGACCAACAATGTTATGGGAGTGAATGCTTTAAGAAGTGCTGTCATATAATATTAGACTACATTTGATATTGTGAGAAGAGAAGAGTTTGAGAGAGAACTCAACTTGATTATTCCCACAAGCTATTGGGGTTTAAATAGCTAAGTATACATGTCCTAAAAAGGAAGGAAATCAATACCTAATCAATATCATATCAAGTGCATACTTCCTTTGTGAAATGACAATTCCTGATTTGGATTGAGCAACCTCAATGCCCAAGAAGTACCTCAATCGACCAAGATCCTTAGTCTGAAAGTGCTGGAAAAGGTGATGTTTCAATTTGGTAATTCCCTCGGCAATTGATAACTATGTCATCAACATACACTACCAAATACATGCACAAACCTGGGGCAGAGTGACAATAGAACACAAAATGATCAGCTTCACTTCGTACCATGCCAAACTCCTGAATAACCATGCTAAACTTCCCAAACCATGCTCGAGGAGACTGCTTCAGGCCATAAAATGCTCGTCGTAGTCTGCACACCATGTTACTAGACTCCTCCTAAGCAACAAAACCAGGTGGTTGCTCCATATATACCTCATCTTCTAGATCTCCATGAAGAAAAACATTTTTAATATCCAACTGGTAGAGAGGCCAATGACGAACCACAGTCATGGATAAAAAGAGACGGACTGAAATATGTTTTGTTGTTTTTTTGGTCTTTCCTGGGTCATGCCTTTCTCTGTTAGGGATACTCTTGAAAGTTGGAGTTCACGGGATGTTGACAAAGCCATCAAGAGTATGTCGATGATTATCCCTCGTGCTATCTTTTGGTGTTTATGGACAAAGAGGAACAAAAGATGTTTTGATGGAATTTCAACTTCTAGAGATCTTTTGTGAGGCAGATGTCTAGTTAGCCTTTTTAGTTGGTCCAAACTGACCCTTGTACATAATTTAGAACTCTTCTTGTATTTTGTTAGCTCTATAGCTTAGAAAGAGGCTACAAATCCTTTTTTTTGTGAGCTTAACTGATTTATCCTTGTAAAGCTTGCATCTTCTTGATGCCTTGAAATGAATCTACTTACTTCATCAAAAAAAAAAAAGACGGACTGAAGCAATCTTGGCCACTGGAGAGAAAGTATCACCATAGTCAAGACCAAAAATCTTGTATAACCCTTGGCCACTAGTCGAGCTTTTAGGCGATCAATCTATCCATCAGGCCCAACCTTCACTGTATATACCCATCGACAACCAACTGTAGATTTATCTGGAGGTAGAGGAACAAGCTCCCAAGTACCACTAGAGTGTAAGACAGGCATCTCTTCAATCATAGCTTGTTGCCAGCATGGATGAAAAAGAGCTTCACCTGTAGTCTTAGGAATAGACACAGATGATAGTGATGATACAAAGGCAGAATGGACCGGTGACAAACGATGACAGCTCAAACAAGTATAGATAGGATGAGGGTTACGAGTAGAGCGATCACCTGTAGTCTTAGGAATAGACACAGATGATAGTGATGATACAAAGGCAGAATGGACCGGTGACAAACGATGACAGCTCAAACAAGTATAGATAGGATGAGGGTTACGAGTAGAGCGATCACCTGTAGTCTTAGGAATAGACACAGATGATAGTGATGATACAAAGGCAGAATGGACCGGTGACAAACGATGACAGCTCAAACAAGTATAGATAGGATGAGGGTTACGAGTAGAGCGATTACCTTTTCGAGTGGCAATGGAAGGACTCTGTGTAGACAAGTCCTCAGCTGGCAAGGATTCTGGCGGAGGGCGTGAATCATCTGGCGTAGACGACGATGATAGGTTAATAGTGGTGGAGGTGCAGAGGAGGTAGATGGAGTCATAGGAGATGATGTGGAAGGATAAACTATGGCAGGATCTCCAAAAGATGGAACTGGTAGGACCTCAGAAATGTCTAATTGTTCAGCAGAAGAGGATGTAAAGTAGGTCTGACCTTCAAAAAAAAGTAACATCAATTGACATAAGGTATCGCTGGAGGTCTGGTGAGAAGCATCGATATTCCTTTTGTACCCTTGAATAAACGAGATAGACACATTTAAGAGCACGAGGAGCGAATTTGTCTTTTCCTGGAGTGAGTATATGGACAAAGCATGTGCTCCCAAAGACGCGTGGTGGAAGAGAGAATAAGGTTGACTTGGGAAACAAAACAAAGTGAGGTACCTGATTATGAATAATAGAGGAAGGTATGCGGTTAATCAGATAACAAGAGGTGAGCACTGCGTCCCCCCAAAATCGCAATGGAACATTTGCTTGTATGAGAAGAGTGCGTGTAGTCTCAACAATATGCCTATTTTTTTCTATCTGCAATCCCATTTTGTTGTGCAGTGTAAGGACAAAATGTTTGATGAAGAATTCCATGGGAAGACATAAATTGTTTAAATTGAGATGATAAATATTCACGTGCATTATCACTACGAAAAATGCGAATAGAAACACCAAACTGGTATTTATTTCAGCATAGAAAGTTTGAAATATGGAAAATAATTTAGAACGACCTTTCATTAAGAACATCCAAGTGCACCTTGAGTAATCATCAATGAAAGTAACAAAATACTTAAAACCCAATGTAGAACTAACTCTACTAGGACCCCAAATATCAGAATGAACTAAATGAAAAAGAGACTCTGTGTAGTTCTAATAATCATGCAAAGTCGCTTTTTCATTTAGTTCATTCTGATATTTGGGGTCCTAGTAGAGTCAGCTCTACATTGGGTTTTAAGTATTTTGTTACTTTCATTGATGATTACTCAAGGTGCACTTGGATGTTCTTAATGAAAGGTCGTTCTAAATTATTTTCCATATTTCAAACTTTCTATGCTGAAATAAATACCAGTTTGGTGTTTCTATTCGCATTTTTCGTAGTGATAATGCACGTGAATATTTATCATCTCAATTTAAACAATTTATGTCTTCCCGTGTAATTCTTCATCAGACATCTTGTCCTTACACTGCACAACAGAATGGGATTACAGAGAGAAAAAATAAGCATATTGTTGAGACTGCACACACTCTTCTCATACAAGCAAATGTTCCATTGCTATTTTGGGGGGATGCAGTGCTCACTTCTTGTTATCTGATTAACCGTATGCCTTCCTCTGTTATTCATAATCAGGTACCTCACTCTGTTTTGTTTCCCAAGTCAACCTTATTCTCTCTTCCACCACGCGTCTTTGGGAGCACATGCTTTGTCCATATACTCACTCCAGGAAATGACAAATTCGCTCCCCGTGCTTTTAAATGTCTTTCTCGGTTATTCGAGGGTACAAAAGGAATATCGATGCTTCTCACCTGACCTTCAACGATACCTTACATCAACTGATGTTACTGTTTTTGAAGGTCAGACCTACTTTACATCCTCTTCTGCTGAACAATTAGACATTTATGAGGTCCTACCAGTTCCATCTTTTGGGGATCCCTCCATAGTTTATCCTTCCACATCATCTCTTATGACTCCACTATTAACCTATCCGCGCCCAGATGATTCACGCCCTCCGTCAGAATCCTTGCATGCTGAGGACTTGTCTACACAGAGTCCTTCCATTGCCACTCAAAAAGGTAATCGCTCTACTCATAACCCTCATCCTATCTATCATTTTTGAGCTGTCATTGGCCTATCACTATCATATGTGTCTATTCCTAAGACTACAGACGAAGCTCTTTCTCATCCAGGCTGGCAACAAGCTATGATCGAAGAGATGTGTACCTTACACTCTAGTGGTACTTGGGAGCTTGTTACTCTAGTGGTACAGTGGGCCTGATGGACAGATTGATCGACTAGTAGCCAAGAGTTATACACAGATTTTTGGTCTTGACTATGGTGATACTTTCTCTCGAGTGGCCAAGATTGCTTCAGTCCATCTCTTTTTATCCATGGCTGCGGTTCGTCATTGGCCTCTCTACCAGTTGGATATTAAAAATGCCTTTCTTCATGGGGATCTCGAAGATGAGGTATATATGGAGCAACCACCTGGTTTTGTTACTCGGGGGAGTCTAGTAACATGGTGTGCAGACTACGATGAGCATTCTATGGCCTGAAGCAGTCTCCTCAAGCATGGTTTGGGAAGTTTAGCATGGTTATTCAGGAGTTTGGGATGGTACGAAGTGAAGCTGATCATTCTGTGTTCTATTGTCACTCTGCTCCAGGTTTGTGCATGTATTTGGTAGTGTATTTTGATGACATAGTTATCACAGGCAATGATGATGAGGGAATTACCAAATTGAAACATCACCTTTTCCAGCACTTTCAGACTAAGGAACTTGGTTGATTGAGGTACTTCTTGGGCATTGAGGTTGCTCAATCCAAATCAGGAATTGTCATTTCACAAAGGAAGTATGCACTTGATATTCTTGAAGAGACATGGATGATAGATTGTAGGCCTTTTGATTCTCCTATGGATTCAAATGTTAAGCTCCTACCAGGTCAGGGGGAACCTCTTAGCGATCCAGGAAGATATAGAAGGCTAGTAGGAAAGTTGAATTATCTCACAGTGACTCGACCTAATATTACCTTCTCGGTAAGTGTCGTAAGTCAGCTCTTGAATTCTCCTTGTGATAGTCATTGGAATGCAGTTATTTGCATTCTTTGATACATAAAATCTACTCCAGGGAAAGGACTTCTTTACGAAGACCGAGGACATGAGAAAATTGTTGGATATTCAGATGCAGATTGGGCAGGGTCACCCTCTGACAGACGATCCACTTCTGGATATTGTGTTCTAGTTGGGGGAAATTTGGTGTCTTGGAAAGTAAGAAACAAAATGTGGTTGCTAGATGCAGAAGTAAAGTATCGGGCTATGGCAGTGGCAACATGTGAACTCATATGGATCAAGCAACTACTGAAGGAGTTGAAATTTGGAGATACTAAAGGAATGGAACTTGTGTGCGATAATCAAGCTGCACTTCACATTGCATCGAATCCAGTATTTCACGAGAGGACCAAACACATAGAGATTGATTGTCATTTTGTTAGAGAAAAAGTACTTTCAGGAGACATAGTCACAAGGTTCGTGCGGTCAAGTAATCAGTTTGCAGACATATTCACCAAGTCCCTAGCTGGTCCCAAAGCAAGTTATATATGTAACAAGCTTGGTACATATAATTTTTATGCACCAGCTTGAGGGGGAATGTTAGAATCCTAGGAATATTCTATAGCATATGTAAATATAGTAGGTAGCTTGATTTCCTCCTAGATTTACTCTAGCTTGATTTGTAGTGATTAGGTATTGATTTCCTTTCCCTTTTAGGACATGTATACTTAGCTATTTTAACCCCAATAGCTTGTGGGAATAATCAAGCTGAGTTCTCTCTCAAACTCTTCTCTTCTCACAATTACATTTAATCAGCTAACCCCAAACGGGCTCTTAGTTACTAGTCCATATCTTATCTGTATTTACCGTTTAGGTTGAACTCAATGATAGTGCTCATTCTTTGGACCTAGTTCAACACTAGTTTCATCTCTTATTGAAAAAAATCTGAAGGTGGAAAACAATGACCAATTTTAGATTATTAGTTTCAAAAAAATGAATAATTACAGATTATGTTGGCAGAAAACTAGAGTTGCATGTATTTTACTATTAGGCAGATGGGAAGCTGTATTAAGAAAGGACCTCCTTGCACTTCCATGAGAGGTGGAGGGGGATGGTGGAGAGGAAAGGAGATGATGTTGATAGGATGGTTATTTTCTGACATCTACCTCTAGGAAATTTGGCTATGACATGGTTGATGAGATCAGATATTATTGTTACTATCATCATTAGATTCTTACGGACTTTGTTTCAAAAACTTTTTTGTTGGCATTATTCTTGGCTTATAATTAACAACGGGAAGTTCTGCTTTGATTGAAATGGGAAAGTAGTTTAATTGCTTCTTTTCTTTTAACACACTGTCTGAAGTCCTATATATATGATTTGTATGTATATTCTGGTTTTCTTTATCCTAACCTACTCATTCACATTTTTAATTCAGGCTTATTTGCTGTTTGGTGATGAAGAATATCTTTTCATCTTCCAGGAAGCTTACAAGGCTGTTATGAAGTATCTCTTTAGTGATCCTTGGCAAGTAATCTTCCTTTTAAGGCTTGAATTCACTACAGAGAAAACCCTGCGTTTATATTGCATTGCTGCTGAAATTCAAGACAACTAATATAGTTATTTTTTAGGAAGTATATCGATTCACAACATGTCTAGATTCGTTTAGTTTTAGTATGAATACGTCTTGTAGCATATTCATAGGATAGTTTAGAACAGTCTCTACTTAATTGTAAAAGAACAATTACTTCCATTATTTTACACAGAAATAGAGAATTACAACCTACTTTACTGAACATAGACTAAGGCATAGGAAGCCTCCTTGTTTAGTAATATTTTCCTTGTACCCTCTCATTTTACAAGTTGGTATTCTACAATTTAGAGTCTTGTCTCACCCTGCACCAAGGTTTAATTTTCTGTTCTTCTCAAGAACTAAAAGTTCTAAGCAAATATTTTTTTCAATATGTAGGTATGTAGAGGTAAATATGAATTCTGCTGCCCTTGTCTGGCCTTTATTTAACAGCTTACAGGCATTCTGGCCAGGTCTTCAGGTGATTTGCTTATGCAAATATTTCACACCCAAGCAAACGATTTCTTTTAATAGTTAGCTAACCAACTTTTTTCCTTCAATATTAATTCTAGACAGAACTAACTTTTGTGTATGTATTTGTTGAAAGGTTCTGGCAGGGGATATCGAGCCTGCCATTAGAACACATGCTGCATTCTTCAGCGTCTGGAGAAGATATGGGTTTACCCCAGAGGGTTTCAATCTAGCTACGCTCAGTGTTCAAGTACTATTTTGCTGTTGTCTAAATTCTTTTGATACCTGAAGTTTGTTTATGTGCTAGTTCTTTGGTCAATGCCCTACTGTATGTAAACTGACAGATTAGGTAGTGCCTTTTAGAATGAAATTATAATGGTTTGACCTTATATGCACTTAAAAGAAAACCTTCCTTTGTATGGTTCGGTTGCCCAACTTAGCCAGCATTGCGGGGAAACATATAACGTTAAAAGGTTTTATTTGCCCAACTTTATCAAGATGCCTTTGATCATTCTCAAAAATAGAAAAAAAAAAACTTTATCGAGATGCCTTTGTTTCATGCGTCCAACTTTATCGAGATGTCTTTGTTGCCTTTGTCTCATACAATGTTTTTTCCATTGGACCATTCTGTAGGACACTTTATCGTTATTTTAGCAAGTATTTTTCAGATAAAGTTAGCCATGTTTAAGATTGGAAATGGTTGGATCGTTTTAGGGATAGATCATTTCGCATTGCTGTGAAATATAAGCAGTCAGGCTAACAGTCTTTTTTCCATTTCCTTGATCTCTCTTTTCATAGTCTTTTTTCCATTTCCTTGATCTCTCTTTTCATTGAGCTTGATCCTTCTGTTGTTGCTCCTTGTGCCGACTGAGCACCTGATTTTTGTTGCGAGGTCTTTTTTGGAGTGGTTTATTTTCTGTATTATTACTATCTTACTTAAATTTCATATTGTTGTTTGCTTACATTGTAGCAAGGCCAGAAAAGCTATCCTCTGCGTCCTGAATTGATTGAGAGCACCTATTGGCTGTACAAAGCTACCAGAGATCCTAGGTCTGCTTGTATGCTCTTGAATTGTTTTTCTTATGCCTACCTTTTTCTTTAGCTAATTGAACTCATAATAATTCATTGGCTGATTTGCACTGCCTTTTTCATAGATTATATCATGTGAAGGCTAAAAATTTTGGCATGTGCAATTGGATATCCGAGTTACCTTTCTTGCATGTCTGTTAGTCCATAGAAGCATGCTCATCACCTATTATTTGTTTTTTTTTATTCCAGAAAAATCCAGACAAAGATTCCGTATAAATAAGTATTCCTAATTTCCTATAGGCAGCCCTTGTAGAGTTACAGAGCTGTGATCTTTGATTTCACCAAAGTATTTGTGACAATTTGTTATAGCCTACATGTTCAATCTGAATGTGTATGGAAGTAACCTCACAAATTAAGATTTTACTACTTATCTGAGGCACCAAAGATGTCCAAATAGATACATAGCAAAAACTCAAGCTCCCACAAAAGGAAGGGGAGTTGGGTCAATCAAGTAAAGTGTCTATGCCGTATACATCCAGCATGAAGCCAAAAGAGTTCAAACATCTGTATTTCAATCTATGGTTCTGCTTTATCTTCAAAGCATCTCTGATCTCTAATTTTATTTTTCTGCCGGAAGGACCAAATATGCAGGCTGGTGTCTGTTGTCCTTGATTTTGCCAAAGTAGTTGTGACAATTTGTTATAGCCTGCATCTTGAGTCTGGATGTGTATGAAGTAACTTTACAAATTAGGATTTGTTTTTACTTATCCGAGGCACCCAAGAAATCCAAATAGATACACAATACAAACTCAAAGTCCCACAAAAGGAAAGGAGTCGGGGAAGTCAAGTTAAGTGTCTATGTCGTATACATCCAGCATAACAACAACAACATATCCAGTGTAATCCCACAAGTGGGGTTTGGGGAGGATGGTGTGTACGCAGCCTTCCACCTACCTTGTGAAGGTAGATAGGTTATTTCTGATAGACCCTCGGCTCACGTATATATCCAGCATGCTACACGAAAAATCCAAAAGAGCTCAAACATCTATATTTCAATCTATGGTTCTGCTTTATCTTTGAAGCATCACTGATCTCTGATTTCCTGTCTGTCAGAAGGACCAAAAGTGTAGGCATCAATATTGTCATTCAAATCCTTTTATCTTCCTTTCACCTTCCTTCCTAAGGACTGAAAGGCCAGGCTGATGTAGTCATTCAAACCTTTTATCTTCCTTTCACCTTCTTTTCTGTCCAGCCTATCATGGCCTCCTTAATGGTTCTTGGGATAACCCAGCATACCCCAAAACAGTATCAAACCATACTCTACTGCTGCTAGGCTATCTGGCAATGTTACACATGAAGAATTCACTACAGATGGCCTTGCCCCTTTTCTGGAGATTTGAGTGAGTTAAGCAGGCTTCAGGTGTTGCAATACAACAAAAACTGGCACTTTGGAGGGACCCTGGTCTTCCAAATAATCTTTGTGTGACCATTATCTTTTGCCGTTTACTGATGAAGTTAATCTACTATAGCCTGACTTAACAGAATACACTCCACTATTATTGTCCTTCCATATCAGCTCGTCTGGTTCCAGATAGATTCTGTCTCCTTCCAGCTTTATTGGCAGCTGAAACATCTCTTCTATAACCCAGCCTTCAAAATGCCTTCTGAATGACAATTCCATTCATTTTGAGACCAGCGAAGTGCGACTCTGTTCTCTCTTCTCCATGCAAAACTACATAAATCAAAAACTCATCCTTCAAGGAATGTTATCCATTTAAAGTATCATGCCAGAATTTCAACTTTTTCACGTTGCCAATAGAGAAGCTAATGTGTGGTAAATTGCTCCCTTAGCTTTCTGATATTCTTCTCAACTCCCCCTCATGTTTTTATCACAGGCTTTGTACACCAGAACCTTCTACACTAATATCAAGCGTTGATTACTTGTTGAATCTTCTGATTCCAAGTTATATCATCCATTTAAGCAGCAGGCTGTTGTTATTAGACCAAGTTTCTTATTACCCAGTCCACCCTGCTTGCTGTATCACTTTGCTACACTGTAGGGAAGTTGTTTTCTCATTGCCCCCCTCTCACCAAAAGTTTCTCCTTCACTTATCAAGCCTTCTCTCATATGTCAGCAGACTTTTTGGGACAGCATTCATGAGTGTGAGTCCCCCTCCCAGAGTTATGTATCGTCTCTTTTTAATTGCTAGCTTCTTCTCAAACCTCTCTAACCATTTCAGATACCCTCATTCTTATTCTTTGCTCCCATATGATATGTCATGAAGCAAGCTTAAGTAACCTCACTAAGTCAGTGGGTATGTCAAGAAGCGGGCTTAAGTTCTCAGGTTTTACATTGTAAATACCAAGTGCAAGTAGCGGCAAAACGTCTGCAACAATGCGTTTGAAGTTATAAAAGAACTATGAACGTTCCTTGTTCCATTAGTATAGTTGAATGTTTCCTAACAGTTGAGTTATTCATGTGAAGCATGTCTTAGCTGTGCTCAATTTATCATTTCCTAAGCAAGGTAAACTTAACTTGTTACCAACTATGTCTCCACCATACACAATTTAGGGTTGGCTATATGAACCAACCATGTTTCTTCATTTAAATCATCTCAGGCCAACCGTGTACAATATAAAAAAATCATAAATTAATTAAATGTTATGACCATAAATACTTTCCCATGCTTGTCAAAATTAATTTGCTTCCAGTTCTCCAAAAATAAAAAGGAGATTCCAGAAAGGATGAGAGAACGATCAATGACTATGCACTGTCTGAGTAAGCTGCATGGTCATTAAATACGGCCTGAAACTTCGATCAAGGATTTAAAACTCTCTTTCTTTCTTCATTGGATGCTGTCGCTTCATGGGCAGCAATTTAATCAACACACACAGACTAAGATTTAGAGCCTTAATTTTCTTTTTAAATCATTTGATGTAGGTATCTTGATGCTGGAAGGGAAATTCTTGCTAGCTTGCAATATGGTGCTCGATGCACTTGTGGATATTGTCATATATCTGATGTTGAATTTCACAAACAAGAAGATCACATGGAGAGCTTCTTCTTGGCAGAAACTGTAAGGAACAAGGCTCGGTTTTATTTGACCATGTTCTATCTGTGGTATATCAGTTTATTTCTGTGTTTCGTCCAGATGATATGATACGATTATGAGGGACTACCTACGTGAAAATATAGTATCCTTTGGGTACTCTCTACTCCTGGGTATATGAAGAGATAAAACACTGGAAAAAGTAAAAGTACAGACAAAACAACAACTATTCCTCAGTTTCTACAAGTTAGAGTTGGCTATATGAATCCTCACCGACCATGTTTCCTCATTTATATGAGGATTTATCATGAATTGACAAGTTTTACGTTGGCTTCCAGCCTACTCCAACCCTCCTCCTTTATCCAGGTTTGGGACCAACAAATGTGAGCAAGGTCACATAGGTGGAGTAAAAAAGTAAAAGTACAAGAAAATAAAATTTTCATTTGTTCTTGAATTATTTCTTAATTTCAATTTTAGTCCTTTCATTAGTGCACAAATGTTTTACTTTGAATTTGTGTGTCAAGCATCTTTGGTCCTTTTGCAGCAGGATTCAGCCAAATTGACGAAAACTAGTAGCCCCTCCAGCTTCTCTGATTCTCCAGGCCTTCTACTGCCTCCTAACCCTATAAATCTTGGCTTACACCCTGCAATTTTGACACCAAAACCTGCAAAACATTGTTGTGAAACCTCGTGAAGCACTTAGGTGGCATTGATGTTTAAAGTAGGGTTGGGTTGGCCATCTTATAGGCGTCTAACTTAGTGACATAATTAAGGCAATTATCATTTCTCTTGTTATTTCTACAGTGATCCTAATTGAAAAGTCATCGAGGGACAGCAAAATCAGGTTGGCGCACAATTAATATGATACCATATCCAGTACTCTTATTCATGGACCTAATAATGTACAACTAATGTTTGTTGTTACATCTAAAGCAGTTTCATTTGACTTCAAATACTAGATTGAGGTGCTTAACTTTTCCTTTTGATTGTAAACATGTTCCACATCCTAACAAGTAATCCACTATTCTTTCTTTATATAGTTTTCTTATCTAACATAGACTAGCTAAATTGTAATCATGTTTAGACTGAATTTTTTTTTTCTTTCTCGGTTGTGTGCATACACGCTTATCTTCTGTTAACTACTCACTGTTTTGATGTAAAAGGTAATAGATTTCATTCAAAAGTATCAAGAAGGTAAAAGAAAGAGTACAAACTTGAAAATTTCCTTCTACATGTTGAAGGAATGCAAAAGATTTAACATAGAGTTTATATCCTGTACAATATTCTTCCTACACCATAAGTACAGACTTTTCAAGCATCTAGATTTAACATGAAATATGGTTTCCCTGCTATCATTAAAACATCTGTTATTCCTTTCCTATCATTAAACTACTCACTGTTTTGATGAGTAAAGACACGTGCTATGGATGATAGTGAGGCTGATCTTATCATCTGATCTTAGTACAAGAGAAGTAACCTTCTGGTGTTTATGTCTTGTTACTTTTATTTTATCTATGAAAAAAGAAACAAAAGTAATGTGTATTATATTTGAGACTGCTCTCTCGTTGAAGTGTTGTCTTCATTGACCTGAACAAATGCATGATTATTTTTTTTGATGAAGTAACAAATGCATGATTATTATTGACAATCATCTATAATAAATCTATGTTTCTATCTGTCTGTCCATCTATCGATATAATTGATATTTTACTCTTCTTTTCAGGTTAAATATTTGTGGCTTCTTTTTGATTTAGCTGCTGGTCCAGATAACCTGGTTGAGAATGGACCGTACAAGTAAAACTCCTATAACATCCTTCGTATTCATTATCTAGCATTTCTTTAAAGTTTTTGTGCTTCCCATCCTCCTCTATCCACACAAAGGAAAACAGAGATATATCCAAGGGAAAAAGAAGAAAACTTACCACTTCCTGTTCTATTTCCTCTATTTTTTAATTCACCATCATCCTTTCCCAAAAGAGATGCTTTTACTCATAATATTTGGTGGTTTTTGTTGTTCTTTCTTTAAAGGTATATCTTCAGCACAGAAGGCCATTTATTGCCTGCAACTCCTCAAATATCCTTAGTACGTGAGCATTGTTCATACTTCGGAGCATATTGTAGGAACAGCAATTTGAGACTCAAAACTCATTCATCCGAGAGTGCACAAACTAATTCCAGTGGCTCTCAAACACGACATGCAGATTCCAGTTTCTTATCGCGCTCCAGTTATCAAAGTTCCTCACCTGTCTCTGGTTTGAAGGTCAGAAATTTTATGGTAAAGGTTTTCATCAACTAATTCCCATTAAAAAATTGGTTCAATGGTTGAGAATTTGCTACACATGAGATTCCCCTTGTTTGATTTAGTTTAGCTAATTAAGCATGACAGTCTGGTGAAAAGTTGGAAGCAAGTCTTAGGTCTTTTTGTGAGATCCAAGTTGCCAGGCACGGTCATTTCTTTGATAGGATACCAAATTTTGTACAGCTTTGTCATCAAGTTGAAAATTTGCAAACTGAAGTTTCTTAATATTGCATCAAATATGTTCATTCTAATACTCCCTCTATCCCATTTTATGTGGCACACTTTCCTTTTTCATCTGTCCGATAAAGGATACATCTCTTTATATTTAGAAAAAAAATTAGCTTTAAACTTCTCATTTTACTCTTAGTGAGATAATTTATAGCCACACAATTGTCTATATCTTGATTTAGACCTCAAGTTTCAAAAAAAAATTCTCTTTTTTATGCATCATATGATACTTGTATCCTTCTGGGACTGCATCGATTTGGTAATCTTCAAATCATTGTACTTGTTTGCTTTAACGATCTTCAGTCCTTTAATCTTGCTTCGTAGTCTGCACTAGAATCTTCTTCCTTGACTTTATTTATTGACCGACTTCTTTTATTCCTTTCCATCTTTATTGATGGAAAGATTTGATACATTTAAAGTCCTTCCTTGTTGGCAAAACTTCTTTTAATTCTGCTTGACATACTTCATAATTGAGTAAGTCAACTTTACATACTTGACTTCATATATTTTGAAGAGCTCGAGAGTTTAGTGTTACGTGGCAAAGGTTCTCTTTTGTCCGATTTGTACTTTTGGTGTAAACAGAAAGTACCATTTGTATAGATGCTTAGATTCTTTGGAGGCTTAAGGTTTTAGTTGTGTAATACTGTGGTGAAATATAATACTGACTTGGCATATATCATAGGTATCTACTTGGATATAACAAATGAAAATTAGAATTATTTTTCAGAATAGCTACACATTCATATTCTTGGATGTTACTCTCCAGGGAGAAGATGAAACTAGCAAATTCCTATTAACTGCCAATTTCTCTAGTTATAGGTAGCTCATGTTTTTCCTTTTTATTATTAGCACTATTTTCAGAAATGCAGAATAAATACATTGGCATACCCCCATACTATGTACTAAATGAAACAAGCTCACAGTAAAAAAAAGGGAGGGGGAGGGGCACCTTGCTTGCAAATTCCAGGTTGGACTAAATTCCCAATGTTCTTTTGTAGCAGGGAGCTTGGATGTATTTCTCACACCTACCCAAATTACCATGTTAAGGTCCCTAGTTTTGGATCGAATCACTGGACGATTAACTGGAAAGTCAGGCCCAACACTCAGGTCTAAGTCCTTGTTCTTGCTCCTTGACCTGCCTATGATTGCTGAATTTTGCAATTCATTCAGGGGACTGTGGACGTGGGATCTTGTTTGAGAAAGTTGTTAATCTGTACGACTTGATTAATCCAACTTGTTTGATTAATAACGTCAACTCTCTAAAATAGAGGTTTACAGTACCAAGAGTCCTAAAAATTAAAAATAGCAAAAGTCCTATAAAACTGAAATATCAAGTCCTAATCCACTCAGGGAAGTTTTATTCGACGAACAAAATAATTCAGAAAATACTAATTATTATCTGTCCTGTTAATTCTCGCGTGTGGAATATTGATTCCCAACAAACGCATCAATAACATACCATCTGTAGTGACTGTTTTTCCTTCTGATATTAAGCTCAAGGTTTCATGGTTCCTTTCTTGCTGGAATTTTAAAATTTGTAAAAAAAGGGTAAGTAATTTTATTGATCTAAATGTGTGAAATCCTTTGGATGTGCCAGAATGAAAGATTTCACACAAAATGGGGAGAAACTCCACATTCTAGGGGTTTGCTTCTGGGTCAAGCTCGTCGCACTGGGCTTGCCTAGTGCGGATTACCTCTCCTATGTGGTTTGCGAGCTATTGCATAGGAGCGGGGGTTTTACCCTGTGCGCGGGTTTCCCTTGTCATCAAAAAAATAAAAAACTCCACATTCTATACCTTGATTCTATTTTACATGGCTAGTGATGTTCCAGCTTCTTTTGCCCCCCACCCAAACAAATAAAAAAAGAACTAGTGAGATTTTCAATGTACTGGAAGATTCATTTTCACTTCTATGCTGAGGAAGATTTGTTTTTATGACAGGGACTCTGTCCAGGTCTAACCTATGAACAAAGGTTTGGCATATCATTCATGTCTCCGGTGGACCCAAGTAGTGAGGATGAAAATTCAAGCCAAAGGGAGACAACTGAAGTTCAGAGCCATTCAGTTGTGCTGAATTCAAACCCCGATCCTGAAGTTTCCTTATCGGGTCCTCATAATGATCATGACAACGACCCAGCTCGTATTCCCCAAGAAGAAAGCCCCTCTTCTAAACAAAAAAGATGACTGGTGGACCTGTAATGGATTTTAGCCTTTTCCTGTTTGCTGTCCGTTTAAGGACTCTTCTCAGAGTTGGTCATGATTTGGAAGGGGTTCAAGCTTCAACGTCCTGGAACGGTTCTGCAAGTATATGGCGATTTGACTGATACCCGTTGGGACCAGAAGATGGTACTTGTAGCAAGTGCTCAATCATGATTCTTAAATGGTTATTAGGACTCATACAGTCATATACATCTTATACATAGAGCTGGTATCCTGCAAGAACGTTGGAATCAGCAGGTGACTTAAAATATGTCTAGCAAGGTATCATACAGTATACCAAGTTAGCTAACCTATTAACTGTTGCAATGTAGTTGAGGATGACCAAATTTTTGGTGATCAAGATCAGGGACAGAAAGGGAGAGGAATCAATTTGTGTACATTAAAATATTGCGAAAACTAGGCAGCGAATCTGTTCCTTGGTCTGTTATTTTCTCCAGCCAATTTGGTTGTAGTTTGCCCAATTTCATGTTGTAATATATCAATCAGTGTCGAATGGACACCATTTTTAGAGTACTCTGGATCACAAGTTTTCTGGTTCTATAGTTCTGCAAATTTAGAATGTTGAAACTTATAGCTGAGTTTCAGCTCAAAACTAACAGTGACAACCTCTCATTCATATGAATGGATCACAATCCAATTCATTTTCAATTAGTTCAAATCTGATAAAATCAACCCATTTTCCACCACCACTCAAGTGTAGGGTCATAGAGATACACTCTGAGAGGATCAGAACTTTCATTCTAGATACAAACATATGTTATTGGAAGCCTCCGACAGTTCATTTTTCCGGCAATTTGTCGAACAGAGCATATTCAAATTTCAAACTACTCACAAGTATGTAAAACACTCCAATATCTTCCACCTGCTTGAAATTTTTACTCACAAATGAATTGAGAAAGCCAACGGAAAGATCCCATTCTGACTTCGTAGAGCCAGCGTTGCACTTACCTCGTCAAAGGATATTGTCTCTCTTTTTTTTTCCTTTTCTTATTCATGAGGCCAACAATTCACCACCACCAACATACCAACTCGTAAAGTGAGGAGGTATGTGGAGGATAGAGTAATAAACAACTACCGATAGTAGCAAAATAATACTATAATCAAACATATAATAACATAAAACGAAGAACAAGAAACAACAGTAATACTACGACTACTAGAATGAACAGCAAGTCAATACACTCCTACTTACCTCCTACCTACGACCCTTCTAGCCTAAAATAAAAAAGAAAGCACTTTAGCCAATAATAGGGTCGGGTAAGAATCTGGCCTGTCTATCTAGGGAAGCCCTAAAACCCAAATAAATCAGCCCAGCCCAGCCCATTTGAGAAAAGCCCAGAACATCAAGAAAAGACGTTAGAATTCATATGACCATTTGGCCCCTAATTTGAATTCCTTGGCCATTGGCGCCATGAAATGCAATGAATCAAGCTGTTTCCCATCTTCTCCAAACTTGCAAAACTCTACACAGGTTAAAATCCGTCCACGCCCATTTATTAGTATGTGGATCCATTGCCTCATCAGACCTTGTTCTGAACAAAATTATTCGCCTTTATTCTCGTTTCGGTGCCACAAACTATGCTCGCAAGGTGTTTGATGAAATTCCTGAACGAAACCCTTTTCTTTGGACTTCAATAATTCATGGGTATGTTGAAAATTCTCAGCATACTGAAGCTTTTTCTCTCTTCCGTGATATGCGTATTGGCGATGTTACGCCTTTGAATTTTACTATATCATCTATACTTAAGGCATTAGGACGGCTGAAATGGCCGAGAGATGGTGAGGGGATGTTAGGGCTAATATGGAAATGTGGGTTTGGTTTTGATTTACTTGTGCAAAATTCTGTGATTGACTGTTTCATGAGATGTGGGGAAGTTGATTGTGCCAGACGAGTATTTGATGGGATGGAGGAAAAGGATGTTGTTTCTTGGAATTCAATGGTATCGGGGTATGTGACTAATGATAGACTCGAAATTGCACGAGAGTTGTTTGATAGCATGGATGAGAAAAATGTAGTTTCTTGGACTAGTGTGATATGTGGCTATGTTAGGAAGGGAGATATGGAGGAGGCTAGGAACCTTTTCAACAATATGCCTACTAAGGATATGGCTGCTTGGAATGTGATGATTTCAGGGTATACAGATGTTGGTGATATGCAGACAGCGAATTCTCTGTTTCAGGCAATGCCTGTTCGTGACACTGGAACATGGAATTTGATGTTATCAGGGTATTGTAAGGTGGCCGAGTTAGAAAGAGCAAGGGACTACTTTGAACGAATTCCCTGTAGGAATGTGGTGTCATGGACTATGATGATAGATGGTTATGTTAAGTCTGGGAAATTGCATGAAGCAAGGTGTTTATTTGATGAAATGCCTCAGAAAAATCTTATTACATGGTCAACCATGATTAGTGGTTATGCTAAGAATGGGAAACCTTCTGCTGCTTTGGAATTGTTCAAAAACTTCAAAAAGCAAAGTCTTGAACTGGATGAGACTTTTATTTTGAGTATCATCTCAGCTTGCTCTCAATTAGGGATTGTAGATGCAGTTGAGTCAGTCATGAGTGTTGATGTAGGATCCAGATATTTTTCTGATACACGTGTTGTTAACAGTTTGGTAGACCTCTATGCAAAATGTGGAAATATTGAGAAAGCCTCGCAAGTATTTGAAATGGCAGATAAAAAAGATTTCTATTGTTATAGTACTATGATTGCTGCGTTTGCTAATCATGGCTTGGTTGAAAAAGCATTATATTTATTTGAGGATATGCAAAGAGAGAATATAGAGCCCGATGAAGTAACTTTCCTCGCAGTTTTGAGTGCTTGCAACCATGGAGGACTTATTGATAAAGGGAGGAGGTACTTTAAACACATGACTGAAGAATTCAGAATTCAGCCCACAGAAAAACATTATGCATGCATGGTAGATATCCTTGGTCGTGGTGGGTTCTTTGAAGAGGCCCATGAGATGATATTGAGTATGCATGTGGCTCCCACTTCAGCCGTTTGGGGTGCAATGCTTGCAGCTTGCAATGTTCACTGCAATGTCCAGATGGCTGAAGTTGCAGCATCTGAGTTATTCAAGATTGAGCCTGAGAATTCTGGAAATTACATTCTCCTGTCCAATATTTATGCTGCTGCAGGAAGATGGCATGATGTAGCTAGAGTAAGGGCACTGATCAGAGAGCATCATGTGAAAAAAAATCGGGGATCTAGCTGGATTGAGTTGGATTCTGCAGTGCACGAGTTTGTAATGGGAGATGTGTCACATGTGGATGTAGACAGGATATGCTTCATATTGAGTCTACTAAATGAAGATATGAAGCTTTCAGGATATACCAAAGATAAGGATCTGCATCGAATTTCGACGTGGTACCCCTCTTATCTATCTCTTTCAAGTGATTCTGAAATGGACGAGGAACTGTTTTGAGTGATCTCTGCCACAACATACCGAGGTACTTCTCCCGGATGTAGAATTTCAACATTAACGTCCTTATCTTAAATGATGAAAATGTTTAGGATTTGTAACCTGGCTCTTAATAAAATATTATTGAAACAGGCTTGTATGTTTGTCAAAAGGCCATAGTCAACCTTGAAAATTTCTTGCTTCTGAAATCTGAGGAATGTTGTATATTTCTTTAGTTTCCTTTGTCGCTGTTATGAGTTGCCTATATCTTTTTGGTGAACTTAAACCTAACTGAGTGAAAGTTAAATAAGATACCTGGAGAAAAAATAAGAATAAGAATTAGCCAAGGGGAATTTTGTCAACTTTTCTCCATGAGGCTTTGTTGTGCATATGGTTTCTGTACAAAAACTAAATTGTTGAAAGAACGACAAACATATTTTGTATTTAAAAAATAAAGAAAAAGATATTAAGTTACTTTACGTGATAAACTTAAAGCTAAAGAAACAGGGAAAACCAAAATTCACTGATACTTGCTCTGGAAGTTTAGAATGTGAAATGCTTAGTAGGAGGTGTAAGACATTATTTATTTGTCCATTGTAAACACTAAACCACATTAGCCTATTTTGTTGATCTCTTTCGTTTGCTAGAAACTCCTTATACCAGAAGTTCCACAAACTTTTTCCAAAATAACAATGTGACTTGCACCTGGAAAAAAAACTGCCCACTCCTATGGAAAACCAATGGTTTTCATGTCAGTGTTTTGACATCGGGCAATGGAAGAAGAACAGACAGCTGCTAGAATCTTGAAGAGTTTAGTCATGTATATCTGGCTTTAGGATGCTAAACATAGAAGTGATTGCAGATTAAACATATGATGCAACTTAGTAAGTCATTTCATATCTTTGGGACATATGTTCTATAAAGAAGATTGATGTGAATTAGTAAATAGATCTAGTTACCCTTACTAATTATGTTGGTCAAGTGTGAATAATGACTTTAACATTTGAAACCAGATGTATTAGGGCATTTAGATAATTAGGGAATGATAAGATCTGAGATATAAAAATCAATATTATATAAGCAATAATAATGATCAGCTTATCTCCCCTTTTCAGCTAACTTTCTTTTTGCTTAATATATAGGTAGCACAAGGCTCCAAGCTAACTTATTTTTTAAGCCTTAAAGTTGTTACAAAATTGAATAATTACACTAGTAAAGCACAAATAATCTTCTCAAGAAAAAAAAAACTTTAATTATTCGACAAATCATGTCTTATGTCCACCAACTAGCAGCTAACATGATGGTTAAGGATACTTTAATCTCTAAAACCCCAACCCACAAACATAATTATCACAGGACAAAAAGAATTAATTAAAGGACTAAGCAGCAATGATAAAGTTTGATTAACAAAACTAAAGGCTAATTAATTATACGTACATTGGAATGGGAATCTTTCATTATTTTACTTACCCATATGTGAATAAGGCAATTTGCGAGGATGGTATGTTCATTAATGGTGGACTTTAAATTAGTGTTTGGTTAATTAATGCATTCGTTGCACCTGTACTTGACTAATTCAGGCCTTTGACCATGTTTATTTATCTCTCCTATCTTAATTACTTCTCATGGAATTGTAATTATACTAGTATCCGTAGGGAAGGGTACTCGAACTCGAAACCTCTGGTAAAGTGCAACTATCACTTATTAAATGCTTTAACCATATACTGCAAAATTTCCCTCTTCTGGTCTTGGCTTCAAATGATTTCTCCACCTCAACTAATTTGCCTAAATAGCTTCAAAAATATTATAGAACAATCCATCAATAATACATCTTGAAACAGAGGCAAGCTTTCCCCAACTTGTGCTTTCTTTCGATAGTTATTAGTAATTTTTTTCAAACAAATTGAAATGGATGAAATAGTAATAATCAAGTGAATCTGCTGATGCTTTGATTTGAGACTATACCATAAAAATAGACCTTTGGAAGTTATAGCAACATCAACTACTGTACACTATATGCTTCCAAAGCTAGCAAATACCCCATTAATGTCACATTGTATATGTATGGATCTGAATCTGATGATATTATTGCTAGCCTTGTGTTTATTTTTTTCCATACTAAATAAGTTGTGTTGAATGTGGTAATCTATGGTAATGTTAGAAGAAACAAATGAAGTGCATAGAACTTTAGATTATTATTCCATTTGAGAACAATAAAGAGATGTGTTAAAACCCCAAGCCAAATAAGAAGGAAGAAAGAAAGAACTTCAAGATAGATTAAGAAGAACAAAGGAAAAAACTCATTTCATTTGAGAATACTGTGTCTGTCTATACAATTGCTTCCAGAGCAAATACATTCTTCATATGCTATTATCACACTGCAGGATCTATAAAAACCACCATGGTTTCTAAGCCTGCACAACATATAGGAATAAGAGTTTCATTTTTTACCCCTTCAAAACAAAACTGCTCTTTCTTCTGTTTTGCACTTCCCAATCAGTGTAAAACAAATTTCCAGCTTCTTGCAATTCGACAACCCAAGCTCAAAAAGACCCCCTTTTTGTCCCTGTTTAAACAGAGAAGAATTCATAATCTTCTTCTCAAACTCCACATCCTAACCCTCTTGCTTCTGATCCTTTCATTATCCTTAGCCTCTTACATGATGATAAGAACATTCTGAAATACCATAAAAAGAACCCCAAATTAGAAAAATCCAAAAAAAAAAAACATGGTGATTCCTAAATAATATTAGATTCAAGATTCAAAAACTTACTCAAAAGGAACATCTCCAACAAGCATCAAGTCACCATCTTTATCTTCATAAGCAGGAGCAAATTCAGACCCTTTATACCCTTCCCTTTCTGAATATTCACCTATACTCAGCTTGAACATTTTCTCTAATGCCTTTAACAGTTCTGGATAACCCTTGCACAATTTCAGATCAATTTTTCTAAGATAAGGGGCTCCATCCATACTAACTTTCACATACATTCCACACTCAGCTTCTGCTTTCTTTGATGGAAAGCTATTTTTCCTGTTAGATCTCACTGGTGGCCACCCCACTATTTGTGTCCTGCAAATCATTTTATCATTTTCAAAGTTTAGTCCTTTTCTTCATTACCTGATAGAAATTTTTTCCATGATTTTAAAAGGGAAAATATCAAGACTTACTTGGCAACAGGTGGAGTTTTGGAATCAGAAATGGAGTTTGATTCACAATCTTCATCCTCAGGCAAAGCCCTCTTGTTATTCTTAACATTAAAGACAATTTCTTTGTCAGATTCTTCATCTGTCCTCCCTGGTAAACCCAATCTAAGCTCTGTTGCCTTGAGATTCAAATCTTTCTCATGAGCCAAAACACACTCCATCTTTCTTTTTTCACAAATTTGATTCAGAAAAAGATTACAATTCAAGTTTCCTTCTCCAAGACTTTTGTTTTTCTTCTTCAAGATTGATTTGAAGATGCTTAATGGTGGCTTGTTGTAATATATAAGGAGAAAGTGAAATAAGAGAGTTGTATAGAGAGGGGGCCACGGGACGGTAGGCAAGATAAGATGAGATATTTAAACATTTAATTTGCCTACTTAATCAAATACTTTAGTCTGTAATATCACTTTCTCTGTTTTTAATTACTTTTTCACTTTTGAATTGACACACTTATTAAGAAAATAATTATTGATATAGTGAATTTATCATTTTACTCTTATTAATTATGAAGTATATGAATTAAAAAGTTAAGGTTTTCAAAATGTTCTACCATTTTCAAAGTAATTAATTGAGGGTATAATAGAGAAAAAAAGTTTGTCGTTCCTTAATTTATCAAAATAAATAAGTAATTAGGGACAACTAAAAAAAAAAAACAAATAATTAGAAACAAATAGAATAAGTTAATTCAAAAAATATAATTATAAAATAATTTAATTCGCAAACCAAATAATTTAAGATATTGAAAAAAAAAGGGACAAGACAAGGTAAGTTGTCGGGTGGAAGAGTTGCAGCATTGAGGCAAGTGATTAATATATTTGGGGGACAAGAATTGTACAAGCTCAGTTGCCCATGTGGTCCTGTGATCAAGACTTTAATAGAATAAACGGTCAAGATGCCTTTTGGAAATTTGTGGGACCAAAATCAGGACCGTCCAATTCTGCTCAATTAAGATAAGCACTAATCCACAGTTAACAAATATTGAGCATGATTATCTATGTGTTTATCCCCAAAACTTACAAATCACAATTAAGATAAGCACTACTCAATTTGAATTTTCAGATTTTTGTTATTGTTGTTGTTAAAATAAAATTGTATTTAATAGTTTTTTATGTTTAAAATTAAAGCGATAAATAGGAGTAGTACTACTATTTAGGGGCGGGGCTATAGTCACTGTTGAACACTCTTCATCAAAAAATTACACTGTATATATATGTCAAATTCTGTATTTAAAGAATATATATTTAAAATTAAACACTCTTAACAAAAACTACGTCTTTGATGCAATGATAATGGGTGTCCATTCGAATGAAGAAGTTTTGGGTTAGGATCCCATATAGCAGAATATTTTATTTATTTTTGACAATCATACATCATTATTCTTGGACACTCTTTGATAAATTTTTTGGCTTTGCCATTCCTACCACTCCCTCTGTCCCTAATTACTTGTCCACTTTTGAATTGACATACCTATTAAGAAAATAATTAATGACATTGTGAGTTTACCATTTTACCCCTATTAATTATAAAGTTGATGAAAAGCTCTACATTTTTCAATATAATTAATCATTTAATTGAAGGTATAAATAGGTAAAAAGAATTTATCCTTTTTTGATTTGTTAAAATGGATAAATAATTAAGGACAACTATAAAAGAAAAAATAGACAAGTAATTAGGAATGGAGAAAATATTATATAATGACAAGTTGACAGCTGTGGTAAGTAATGTGCAGTAGGGTAGTGTTGGGGAGAGAATTGGGAAGGAGAAAAGAAGGCTACCATGTGAGAATTTGGATTCGAGTTTTATTTGAATCAAAATCATTTTATTAGGAAGCGATTGAGATCTTAATATAAAATTTTATATGGATATATTAAAAGAATGTAGCCTACAGTTGCAATTTGTAGCCACATAAAGTGAATCGAGAGGGAATATCGTTTTCGTTATTAATTTCTCTCTATTTTGTGTCAGTCATGTAACCGTGCATTTATTCTA